GGCTTGCGCCGTGTGTCCGTGTGCACCTTGCGTGCGGCCGCCTGGCGGCCTTCTCTGAAGCACGGGTTCCAAACCACACCCCTCATTTGCATCTCCCCCGCCAATGGTGCATATTCTGACAGTACAACACCGGCACTGCTGACTGCGCCCGAAACACCACCCGTGAAACACCTCGCGCCACCTCACACGTTGCCACCGTGTCCAAACCAGGGGCGGCATGATGATCAAGGTCAAGACCCTGACAGGCAAGGAGATTGAGATCGACATTGAGCCCAGCGACACGATAGAGAGGATCAAGGAGCGCGTGGAGGAGAAGGAGGGCATCCCACCAGTGCAGCAGAGGTGGGGGCTGGTTATGGTGTGGGGGTGCCAAGGAGAGGGCGGGCGAGGTGCGCGTGCGTAAGCGGGGAAGGGCACAAGGCAAGAGTGGCAACAGTGGCACGACCCTGTGTGTCGATTTGGCAGACGGTTGGGTACGTGTTTGTGTACGTGTGTGCATGCGTGTATTCGCATACATGCGTGTGTCATTGTGCATGCACCTGTGTGTGTATGTGTGCATACATGCATGCGTGCGTGTGTATATGTGTGGGGTTGGGGGCATACGTTTGCATACCCATGCCTGGGATTTGGCAGTAGATTGTGGTAGTGCACCAGAGAACAGGAGTTTCTGTTGACAGCCATGCAGGCTTTGTGCCAAGGGGCGCCTCTTTCATTACATCATCGGGTGCGTGATCAGCCATCAGGCTGCCTTGGAGCCCAATTCCCCTGCATCAGACCCGCGGGTCCCGACGACTGCACCGCCCGCATTGTTTGGCCAGCCCAGCAAAGCGGGCCCGCCTCAGCTTAACCTCTCCGTAGACCGCGGCGTGAAACTCTCTGCTCTGCTCAGCAGCTCCACAACAACACGCAACCTCGACACTGCCTCCTCAGGTTGATTTTTGCGGGTAAGCAGATGAACGACGAGAAGCAGGCAAAGGACTACAACATAGAGGGCGGCTCGGTGCTGCACCTGGTGAGGGGGCGGCCGCTTCTGGCTGCCGAGTGTGGGTGCGCATCTCAGGGTTTCAGGGTGCCGTTGCGGCACCATATAGGTTGTGCTCAGTCTCCGCCTCAGGGGCGATTCGACTCATTTTCATGAACGGGGGTCCAGGGCCCTCCGGCAGGCTGAGGAGGGGAGGGCGGCTGGCGGCTGCACGTGGCCCACGTGATTGCTCCGCTGTTTGGAAGCAGTGTCAGCTCAGGCATTGCCCCATTCGTCAGCGGGCGCCGAAACGCCCTCGCCGCGGCCCCACATACGCTCCTCGTCGCAGGTGCTCGCGCTCCGCGGCGGCCGCTGACGGTTGTATCAAGCGGCTGGGGTTTGTTTTGCTTGCCCCTCCCCGGGCGACACCTCTCTTCTTTTTCGACCTGTCCCATTCTTGCACATCTTGCACACCAGCATTTGCCGGGCGGGTGAGCCTGCCCGCTTTATGTCTGTTAGGTTAGCAGCGAGTAATCGAACGCCACTTCTCCTTCACGGCCAGACGGCTGGTAGATCAGTTGATAGGGCAGGGGCTGGACGGCATCGCGAAAAGTCCGGCGTCGCCTGCGCCGTTGCCAGGTGGTGCAAGTCCTGCGAATCAAGGGCTTCGAGAAGTGTAAGCATTTTTCAGGACTTGTGAAAGCTGCCACATCGCTCCATTCATAAAGCAAGCTTACACTACGGAACGGTTGCCGTGATCTGAATACAATCAAGGATATGCAGCCACACGGCGACAAGGTGAGCTATTCTTATGACTGACAACCAAATTTTCGGGCCTGGCTGACGAGAGACCCACCGGGGTGCACTGCCACGCGTCTCGATATCCCTCACCAAGCCCTTGTGTGGTCTCGGGGCCCTCTTGGACGCGCTACACAGAAATTAAATACTTTGATACGGTCACATGGGGTGGCTGTGACTCATCCGGCGCATTACCTGTAGGCCAGCAAGGCGCCAGCACTGCAGCGGAGCCGCCTTGCTGTGATGCCCCTCACCCCTCACCGGCAACTCACCAGCCGCTTGCCCTCGCGCTGCCCAACCCCTCAATCAGGCCCTCCCATTGGAGGAGGAGCACAAGGCCCTGGCTGAGGTGGACCAGGATCTGACCAAGGAGATGGAGGCAGAGCGGCCAAACCATGACAAGCTGGAGAAGCTGATCGAAATCGAGGTGCGTGGGTGGGTGTGCGTGCACACGCACGGGCCGCATGCGTGTGTGGTGTGTGCGCACGTGCGTGGTTGCTGATATTTCATCGGGATTGCAGCGTCACAGGGGTCGCTTTATTTTTTTCGCACGCAAGCGCGCGCGCCCAAAAGTGGGGTCGCATATGGCAGCTGTAGGTCAAGGCTCCCACGCCTGGGCACAACCAAGATCCACAAAGAGTTGGCAGCTGGGATTCATGGTGCTTGGAGTACTGCGATTGGTCTCTTGCCTTTCACCAGCCGGTGCGCCAGGGCGCTCGACGGGCCGCGGCGGCATGTCCCAGCTTCCTGTGGTGCTGCAGTACCTGTCGACGCCTTTGATGCCCCACAGGAGTGCCGCGCCTTGCCGCTCCTGCCTGCTGCAGGAGACCCTCAAGCGCCGGGCTTCTGGCGACGCAGGCGCCAAGCAGTGACCCGTGCACCACAAGATGGGCCGGCGTGCCGGCGGGCGCCCAAGGTTTCGTCGGCCGGGCGTCGGACGCCGCTGGTGAATGTGCGGCCGGGGCCAGCGGGTGCGCTGGCACCCGCGGCGTCTGGACGCGGCCGCTGGCTGAGGTGGCAAGCTCATTTTGAGGGTGCGTGGTGCTGGAGGGCAGCTCCCACGGTCGCTCAGCACATACAACGTACAGACGCACCAAGGATATCGACAGCGGCTCCCCTCCATGCGTGGCCTTTTGCTAACTGTGCATGTGCGTGCATGTGTGGCTAACGCTTCATGGCGCTGGCACATGGGTCCAGACCGTTTGCTTCCAACCCACCAGGCCAGATTCAGGCGAATGCGGCACACGTATGAGTTAGGACCGTTTGAGGATTATCAATTTGTTTCATGTGTAGCGTGCACGTATGCTGCAAGGAGCGGAGCGAGCTGGACAAGGAGAGCCACCCGGCCTGCTTTTGAAGTCACGCATGATTGGTGGAGAGGTGGTGCCTCGCAGCTGTGTGGTAGTTTCAGGCGGCGTTCGCGTACCACGCCCGCTCACATAAGTGCGATTTTTGTACAACAGGCAGATATTGCAACGGACACCCTCGCTCTCACTTGGCGCCTTTGCACAGGGCGCCCCGCGCAGAGGCTGGTTCTTCAGTGTTGGGTTCAGTAATATATGCCGCATTCGTTGCGTATGCGTGTGGTGCGTGCCCTATCAGCTTTGCTGGCGCAGTCGTGTGGTGAGAGGAAGCAATTACACAATAAATCCTGGCAGCAATCTGGGAAGGCCAGTCAAGTGCAGGGCCTCGCAAAGGGCACGTCGTGCAGAGATAGTGCAAAAGTATCAGCGCAGCATGTTTCCGCATGTGGTTTAAAGTCTAAGGGAAGTTCAGGCAAAGGGACGGCCATGCCGTCCCCTGTAGGTGATGCATCCAGGTGGAGCCTACGCCTACGTGTGGGTGGCGGCGGCGCTCGCAGTACGACATCCAGTTCGTGAAGGAGGGCCGAGCGTGCCTCGGTAGCAAAACAAACACTGCAGAATTAGTCAACATCAAGCGTGGATCAATGTTGGCCGAAGTCATGCGGCCCGGCAGTGATGCATCAATTTGCGTGCATCAGTGCAGCCGGGTAACCGTTGCGTGAGCCGCCCGCTCTGGTCGAGGCCTAATGACCTCGATATATGTGAGCCTCTCACGGACCCAGCGGGAGGCTCAACGGGGTGGCAGCCGCAACTCGAAGCTGGAGCAGCCGGGAGAATTCGGGACGATCCTTCAGACGTTGCTGTACGCCTCTGTCCTCGCACATCAATTCCACGGTTCATACGATCGATTATCAATTTTCTAGTATAGACCCGTCCGCACGCACGTAGTCAAAGCAAGATCGGACTCGCTGCTAACGCACAAGTCTCGGGCCATTCCGTAGCCATGTCGCTGTTCCTGGCAACCCGCGCACTTGCAACGAGTAGCCTGCTGCCTGCAGCCATGGTCGCGCTGCAACGTGTTCTGCCTGCAGCGCTCGGGCGCGGGCAAGGCGGGCTTTTGTCCTCCCGGCCCTTTAGTAGCTGCTCAGCGGCCACGCCGCAGCTTGCAACACCGTCCATCGCACAGCAGCAGCGCAGCTATGCACAGCCGGCGCTCGCGCCTGCCGAAGACGAGCATGCGCCGTCGCGCGTGCGCCCGGCACGCATCATCATGCCCGGCCGCGCGGCCCCTTTGGAGGCCATTCCTGAGGTATGTGTTGATATCAACGCCGCAGCACGTCTTGCCTTTTGTGGCGCTCTAAGAGCTCGCTGCTTTTATGCGCGCAGCGGCAGCGTCTGCTGCAGCGCACAACAACAGCGGCGTGCCTGCAACCCCACCCACCCACCCCTCCCGCACCGCATCCTCTCCCTGAAACCGACGCAGGTCTTCGGCCACATCCACTCCACAGGTGCGAGTTTAAGGGGTCCCTCTGGGTTTGATGCTCATGCCAGTGCTTTGCAGCTGAGTATCCCACACCGGTATTAAGGCAGGCCCGGCAGCGCACTGCCCCCATCCATGTCCCTGCCCGCATCCACCGCCACTCCTTGCAGAGTCCTTCAGCACTGTGGACGGACCCGGCGTGCGCTTCCTCGTGTTCACCCAGGGCTGCGCTATGCGCTGCAGTTTCTGCAGCAACCCTGACACATGTGAGCGGGCGCGCCGGGCGCTTGCGGCGCGCATGACGCGCACCATGCGCGCACGTGCGCACCCTGCATGCACCCATGTGTGCACCATGCGTGCATACGCCTATCCGCGTGCCACGCATGCGCCGCCATGACGGCAAGACTGAGGCAGCTGACATGCCCGCCGTGCGGTCTGCTTCCCCCGCATGCAGGGTCCGCTCATGGAGGCGAGCTTGTCTCCAGCAAGGACCTAGCAAACCAGGTGATTATGACTTGAACTTCAAGCGGCGTAGCAGCACCAGCGATTCGGTGCCGCACATCGCACAGCACGGCGCACTGGCCGGTCGGCCGCCTTGCGTTGCTCTTGTTTGAGGTGTCACAGACCGCATGCGGTACTTGTCAGCATGAGGGCGGCCGCCGCTGCCCGAGGTGGCACCGCATGTCCACATGCATGTTCAACGAGCAGCATGGCACGCAGACCTGCTGTCTCATCCGCCTTTCTCACCCTCTTTTACTCATGCACCCCATCCCCCCTAGATCCGCCGCGTGCTGCCCTACCTCAAGTCCTCCCACGGCGGCCTCACCTGCAGCGGCGGCGAGCCGCTGCTGCAGCCACAGTTCACGGCCGCGCTGTTCAGGGAGGCGCGGGCGATGGGCCTCACCACCACGCTGGACACCACGGGGCAGGGCACCAAGCACAAGAACTGGGACGTGGTGCTGCCGCACACGGACGGCGCGCTCTTCTGCATCAAGTCGCTCGACCCGGAGAAGTGAGCACAGGCCTGCCGCTCGGCGCGCCCGTCGGGGCAGCGCATGGGGAGGGCGACCGCAGGCGGCCGTGGGCCGCGTCCTGAGGCCGCCTGGGTTTGCAGTCTCGCTTGGCTCGAACATGCAGGGCGCAGCGCTGCATCCCCAACACCTGCCTTCTCTGCGCCCCGTGAATCCCTGCCGTCGCACACAACAGCCCGCCGATCCCCTGAACACTGGAAACCGTGACCTTGTTTCTGCAGGTACCAGGGCATGACAGGCCTCAAGCAGATTGGCGCCTTGCGCTTTGCGCACGAGCTGACTGAGCGCGGCATCCCCTTTTGGGCGCGCTACGTGCTGATCCCCGGCCACACGGACTCCGACAGGGATATTGGCATGCTCGCGGAGTGGGCGGCGCGGATGCCCACGCTCTCGGGGGTCGAGCTGCTGCCATACCACGTGTATGGCAAGAACAAGTGGGAGGCGATGGGGCTGCAGTACCCGCTGGAGGGCGTGCAGACGCCCGGCGCGGCCGCAGTGAGGGCAGTCGTCTCGCGGCTGGAGCGTGCGGGGCTGACGGTGCTGTGCGACGCGGCCGCGCCGGCTGGCCTGTCGGCGGCGCACACCGGCGCGCACTGCTGAGCGCGCGTGTCGGCTGGTGCACGGCGCGCGGCGCTGAAACACAGCGTGCGCCGGCACGCTGGGATGCGGCCCCTAACGCGCTGCGATGCGCGGGGGGCCGGCGCGCCTCCTTGCCTTGAAAAAGGCGCAACTTGAATTTACTAGGCACTTGCAGGATATTCGTGTCCAGCTGCCGGCAGGCGCGCGGCGAGGGCCGGGCGGTTGGGGATTGCAGGCGGGGCGCAGACACCCCGCCGCGACCCGCCCGTTGCACCGCGCGGCGCGGCGGGCAGCGCCTGGGATGACGATTCTAGCTGCCATGCGTCTTGAATTCAGCATGTGTGTGCAGCGGCGCCCATGCTCGCAGCACGCCGCCGCCCCTCCACTCACTTGCATCATCATCATCAGCACCAGCAGGAGCAGAGGCTTCTGCTGGCAGCAGCATCCCGCACCGCCGGGTTGCACGTCTGCCGCTCGCCCGCTATCTGGGCGATCAACCTATTCACCTGCCTTTTCGGCACATGGGATTCCTTCGCACCAGCGCCGCCCTGCGCGTGTTATTGTGAGGGCACTGACGCTGAAAGCGCGGACGCCGCCCCACCAGCATACGTGGGGCATCACTTCTTTTCATGCAGTGCAGGGGGCTCACACACAAACGTTGTCTTTCTGTGCGTCAGCGCACCCTCCGGATGACAAGAAAATCCCTTTGTGAGGCAATTGCTCTACTAGAAGCAGCTGACATCTTTCGCATCGGTCGCATGCGTTTACTTATGCCTCCTGCCGCGCGTGACAAGCCTCGTCCTGCCTGCGCCTCCACTGCTTAAGCAGCACGCGCTTATGCGCTGGCCGCTCCTTTGTCGAAGGTGTCTGCACACACGCATAAACGGCGCACCTTCCGGCTCCACATTAGGTGCGTTGCCGGCGGGCTGCGTTTGGCGCTGGGGGCTTGCATGAATGTTTCCGCCTGCATAATCTGGGCCAGCCTGTGTCGAGGTGGCGGGGCTGCGGCTGGATTGCGGCCGCGGCCCCATGCGTCTGGTGCCCATGCCAGATGTGCGCCCGTTTTGACCAGACGCACATCACATTTTATCACCTTCCGCCTGTCGTTATGCGTTCGGACCCCGCCGCCTAGAGCTCGCGGGCGCAGTATCAAAGCCAGCACCCCTTTGTTCCTCCTGTCTTCAACACACGATTCAACTGTCAGCGGCCGCCCTTCAATTGCAGAGGCGCTCGCCGTTGCGAGCCCTCTGCCCGCCGTAGGTGGCTTCCTTCCCCACTCTCCCCCGGGCGCGATGCATTGCAACTGCGTGTGCGACAACACTACACACACATGCACATGCACTGGGCAATCGCCGAGGGAGACGTGCAGAATCGAGATTGTTTGTGCTGCTCACGACACAGCACAACACGCTTTGCACGTACACACGGGCTGCTGTTTGCAGATCGACACACACGAACTGATTGTCCCCTCTCATCACCAACCTTGCGCGCCGCCATTGCCGCCTGCGCCTTTGACTTTTGCACAGGGGGCGGCGCCCTGCCTTGCCGTGTTGCCGCTTGCTTGTTGTACCTTGTAACGTGATTGGTCGCTGGACGACCACGGCTCCCAGCACATCAGCATCACCACCACACGCTCGGACGGAGTTGATTTTTGCCTTGTGGTAGTCAGCCCTCGCCAGCCCTCGCCCCAAGCGACTGTGTGCAAACGGCCCACATGGATTCCACCACCTCTGGCCAGCTTTGGCGCCGTCACAGGGAGTTGGCCATCTCTGCAGCGGGCCCAGCGCTCGCCCCGGTGAGCCCTTGGGCGGGGCATCGCAGGTAACGGTGCGCCTGCTCAGCTGCCAGGCCTCAGGGCCTTGCGAGCCGCCACCGATGGGGGTTGCACGCCACAGCACCCCTGCGTACCTGGTCAGTGCAGGACGCCTGTGGCGGTGCTCAAACATTGAGCCTATGCAAGGGGGACTGAACATGTTGCCTGGACGTTTGAAATGATGTGTAACGTGTGTATGCACGAGGGTTGCAACCTTCATCGCGCCTACATGTCCGGAGCAGGGAGCAATCATGACTTGCGGCGAGGTCAGTTGGACACCGTCACTAGTGACGACAGCAGCCAAGGGCCTAAAGTGGTGCTGGCGACGTATAACGGCGGGCGCGCTGTCATTGTCTGAACATGGTCTGGAACGTCGTATGGTCGCGCAATCGTGTTGTACCAGGGATCCACGCGTTGATCTCGCGCCAACCACTGTAACAGAGCACGCACAACCGCGGGATGGTGGTCGCCTCGACAGACTCAAAGGCGATGGCGGACGCATCACGTGCTGTGGGTGCGGTCATGCAGCATTACCACAGAGCACTCGCCGCCGCACCCGACCCACGTGCCGCCGCCGCTGCTGTCGCCGCCGTCCTCGCGGCCTTCGTCGCTGCCGCCGACGCACCACCGCCAGACAGCGCCGCGCAGCACAGCTCAGGCGGTTTGGAGCTGCCGCCGCAGCTGCAGAAGGTGCTTGAGCAGAGCGCCGCAGCATACGGGAGGGAGCAGCTGCGCGCTGCCTTCTTCGCCCATCACTTTGAGCCCTGGGCGACCGCCGCTTTGACAGGTGCGGACCGAAAAGAAGGCAAACCAGAGGCATGTGTTCCTGCTCCCTAATGGCTGGTCATTGGGTGCACAGTTTGGCGTTTGAATGAAATGACAAACAGGCGGCATTGTGCGGTGAAAACGCTCCACCCCTGGCATGCGCCACGTGTGCCTTCCAGCGTGCGCCGACGGTGAACGCGGGGACAGCAGCGGCGGCAGCGTCAATGGCGGCTCCGGGCAGCGCGGCGCGCTGCAGGCGGCGGTGGAGGGGACGCTGATGCGGGCGCCTGCAGACGCCGCCCTCCGGGCGCTAGTAGGGTGGGCCGCCCCTCCGCGCCGCCTGCTGTTTGTCGGGCCTCGCATTCGCGGGTGCCCGCAGCCACAGACTGCTCAAATCGTCAAGTTTTGGATTCTGCATCGACGCCGCATTGGTGTTGAACGCTTGCTCACATCGCAGCTTGACGCCGCCAACCCCCTATCCCATCCTCTTATATGGGCAATTTCACAATCGCCCGACCACAAACTCCCCATTTCCACAACAAAAGGCACCTCTCTTCGGTGCGCCCCGCACCCGGCGGCGCCGGCGCCGCGCGCGTCAGCGCCGCGGGCGGCGACGTGGCAGCGGCGCTGCTGGCGCGGCGTTTCGCCGAGCCTGGTGGCGGCGGCGTGCAGGAGCTGGTGGGTCTGTTTGGGGCGCCCCTTGGGCAGCAGCAGCAGCAGCAGCAGCAGCAGCAGGGGAGAGAGGCGGCCCCCGAGTCCTCGCCCGTGCTGGCACGCAGGCCGGAGGCGGCGCCGGCCGCGGCGGCGGCGCCGCCCGACCCGGAGTCTCTTGCTGCGCTGCTCGCCGCCGCCGCCGACCGCGCGCAGCATGTTGCCGTCCTCCCGCCCGCCCTGCGCCCCGACGCGTTCGCGGCGCGCGCCGCGGC